TCTCCTGGTGACTTCTCTTTGGTTATGAATCAGCAATGCACCATTACTTCACTGTTTGCACTGCTGATGCTTGGGTTTCAACAAGATGTTCCCTGGGGCACTGTGGAGATGCCTACCACCTACAGTGTCACCCGGCACACGCACCACACAGAGAAAGGCCTTAGTAAATACTTCCTGATTTATAAACCAAATGGGATGCTGATGGAGAAATCTGCCACGCTCCAACAAAAGGGGGAGGGAGGGCAAATATAATGTAGACACATCTTTGTTTCTACTTTTGAAAGGTGATCGTGAGTGAGTACAAGAAGACACAGATATTACAAGAGTTTAAACTACCTGAATTTAACCTTTCCGCCCATTGAATAGGTATTCATAACAACTAACAATGGCTCATTATGTCAGACATTGCTCTTCATTCCCAAGAGAGAGACCCATAAAAACTTATTTCACATACTCGGAAGGATCATGGCTTGAGGTCAGCTGAATTAAAAGAGAAAGAGGGGGAGAGAGGGAGAGGGAGGGAACAAGAGAAAGACACAGACAGACAGAGACAGCGAGACAGACAGACAGAGACAGAGACAGAGACCCATCTTTAGAAACACGTGGAGTATGGTAGTTTACACTATAACCCCAGCTGCTCAGGAAACATAAGTAGGAGGATCCAAATTTGAGTCTAGCTGTAGACAAAAACATGACACTCTCTCCAAAAAAAAATCTAAAGCAAAAAGAGCTAGGAGCATGGTTCAAGTGATAAAGCAACTTCCTAACAAGCATGAGGCCTTGAGTTAAAACCATACTACCTTAAAAAAATTCATTTCAGTTAGGTTGATAATAAATGTGGCTACCTCCAGAATAATATATGGTGTGGGGTACAGTGAGAGCCTAAGTCATAGTATTTATATAAAGTACTATTTTATGCATTTATAAAGACTTGATATCGTTTTTTTTTGTCGGTCAAGGGGCTTGAACTCTGGGCCTGGATGCTGTCCCTGCGCTCTTCAGCTCAAGGCTAGTGTTCTACCACTTGAGCCACAGCACCACTTCCGGTTTTCTGAGTGGTTTATTGGAGATAAGTCTCACGGCCTGGCTTTGAGCCTGGATCCTTAGATCTCAGCTACCTGAGCAGCTAGGATTACAGGCGTGAGCCGCTGGCACCCAGCTGACTTGAGATATTCAATCTTTCCTCCAAATTGCCATGGCCACCTCCTTCCAATTGTGGAAAAGACAAAAGCAAAGGACTGCAGAAGAGAAGGAGAATGATGTTGAGCTGTGGAATATGCTAGAGACTTAGAACACCTGTGGCCCCATTGTACAGATGAGAAAACACTTTATGCTGTTGTTCAATGAGCAAATGGATTTTGCTATCCCTCCTGTATTTCCCATGTAAGCTCACTACACCCTCCTGTGAAAGGAGAACATTACCCCTACTCTAGGGTATTTCCCAGAAGGTGAAATGGAGTAACAAGTGTGTAACCATACAAAGACACGCAAAGGCTAGGGGGTTAGACAAGGGGGGGGGGGAATGGGCCTTCTTCCCAGTTGCCTCCCCAAGATTTTTTGACAAAAGAGACATTAGACATTTGCTCCAACAACTCAAACCTCCTGTTCGATGGCAGGGGCTCCAGGGACAAGAGAGAAGCTGCTGAAGAAGGCAGCAACACCAGCTACGGAAACCGCAGCTCCATCTGGTCTTTGCTTCCTTTAAAGTTAACTCCAGGACACTTTGCCAGCCAGCTGGGCAGGGCCACTGCAAGGCAAAGAGATCACCGGGAGGGCAGAGCTTCTGCCCAGGCTCTCTGTAGACAAGGAGGCCGTAACCACTCAGCTGGCATCGTGCGACATCCAGCTCCCTGTGCTCCCCAAGCTCCTGGACAGAAAAGTCTCAGCTCAGCATTCACACACAGGTCAACGGAAGCAATAAACGGGTTCTTGCAAGTTTAAGAGGATGTGGCTTCTAAACACACACACAAGCTCTTCCCCACAACCCTCCTTCTGTGTGGGGCAAATCAAGCAGGCTTTCAGGGAGTCCTCACCCCCAGGACAGAAACCACATTCCTGGGGAATGCCACTCCCTCAGGGGCTGCTTCTTGCCCTCAGCAGTCTTCACTGCACCTTGTAACGGTGCTCAGGGCAGCCAAGTAAATGACGAAATTGGACTACGAAGTTAGAGCAATTCAGGCGACAGCTATTTAACAGCTCAAAAGGGGCTGGGTTCAAAGCGCTTCCTTTACTCTAGGGAGCCACATTTTTCTAAGATTATTCTTCCTTGGGCTGGCCGCTCAGCTCCTCAGCATTTCCCCTTTGGGTGGGAAAGTTCTTTCTCTGCAAGGATTTTTATTATGATTTCCAGCCTTTTTCCCACCCCCACGCCCCTTTCATAATGAACAGCCAGCCTATGGATGGAAAACCCAAGCCTATAAACTAAGTCTCCAGGTTAGCACTGTGGCTTTGAGGCCTGGAGTGGTGGGAAAATGTGCAGAAAGAGGAAAATCTCTAGGTCTCAGCATCCTGTCACCACTGGCTGAACAGCAGCAAAGAATGACAGCAGGGTGGCAGGTGGGCAACCAAAGCCTAACAATGGCTACACAAACAAGGGCCGCCCTCCAGGGGCTTGCAAGGTGACACAGACAAATCAAACACATGCCATGGAAACACAGTCACCCTGACAAGTAAGAACCCTGAACTCTGCCTCAAGCTGAAGGGCTAGAAATAGGTGAATGAAAAGAAAAGGACATCGCTGGTCCCTGCTGCTGGGATGAGTGTATTTGGAAGCCTAAACCACAGCAAGAAGTGGCTGTGCATAATCTTCCCCACTACCAAGAGAAGCACATGATTTGTCAGACTCTGGGCTCATAACCAAGAGTACCCCCACCCCCTCACACACAAAGGCAAGGACACAGAGGCTGAGTAACCATCTGTCAGGGTACTGAAGAAGGCAGGGCACAGTGGCTTTACAGGAACTCTGGAGGGCCTTTCTGCTTCAGACTTTGCTGCCTTCTGAAACAACTGCCAGTCCCTAGTGATGTCTGATAGCCCAGCAGCATGGGCCAAGAAACTCTCAGGACTTTATTAGAGGACAGACTCATTGAGATCACCCAGTTCTGATTTGCTTGGTTATTTCTTTCTCCTTCCCTGAGTGACACTGTTCAAAACACTGTCAGAAAACAAGCACAGGTCATGCCTGGATCCTCTACCCTTTCAACAGATCATCCTCACCCCCAAGATCAGGACTTAGGCCAGAGAAAGAGCAGGTAGCATTAGAGTGGTCTTCAGGGTACCAGATCTAAGAGACCATCTGAAATAAGACTGCTCTTTGGGACTCCCCTTCCTGAAGCCTCCAACATACCTCCTTAAATGAGCCCAATAAGAAAGCAGTGTTACCTGGTAAGGTAGGCATGGGTCACATAAGGCCTTGTTCTTATTTTGCTCCAGCCTAATTATCTCCATGATCCCTCTCTCTGCATTTCTCATCTCTCTGCCATCTGTGGGCACTGCCAGCCAAAGGAGGAAGGAGATTCCAGTGCCAGCCTCCTCTGACCAGGCCCCCACAAGTCAGAATGTCTCTTCCTGAGGCCCCTAGGCTAAGAAGGCCTGAGTACCAGCCAGAAACACCTGCCTCTCTGTCCTGAGTGTCCCCTTCAAATATCCTCAATCCCCAGTACTCTTCTGTCTAGAAAACTCATAACTGCCCCTACAGTGGTCCTCAGATACTTTTCTACTTCAAGACCATCCAGAAATGTGCTCTTTTAAGATCTTACTTTCTTCCCTTGTAGTTTACGGAAACAAGTGATCTATGAATCCCCTCCAGGTCTGTAAGATCATTTACAGTTTTACAAAGATTTTGGTCACTTTTCTCCTCCTTTCTTTACTATTCCTTTTTCTATCTTAGTCTGGTGACTCAAAAATTGACAAGGATTTGACAGTTTGCAAGGATGGAATCTTGCGGACCATGGAGTTGACAGGTTTTTATTTCTGGGGCGGAGAGGAGCTTTGCTTACTTAACTCTAGAAAACACCTCTAGGTTGGGGGAAGCCAGCTCCATGATAGTTTGTGAGGTAAGAGAAAGCAAATGAACTGAAAATTAGGCAGAAGTCTCATTGACCGTCACCCAAACTCCAAATCCGCGTCCGGTGTAGCAGCCAGGGAGCCTCTTCCACGGCACCCTGCGAGTGGGTGGCCCGTGTCGCTGCACGAGGACAAAGGCTCACACACCACGTTGCTGACTTTGTTCAGAGCACTTTCTGTTATTTTTACTTTCATTTCGTCACATCACCACCAAGAGGCGGGTCCCTACCGCCTTGTCACAGATGGAGAAACTGACACTAAAAAGAGGCCATTCCCATTTACAATGGCATTATGTTCCGATTACACCCAGTCCTTGGCATTTTCTCCCCGACCAGCCCAAGGAGCTGGACACAAAGGCAGCCAGGAGAGGTCAACTCCCTGCCTCTGATGGGGACAGGAAAGGGCAGGGGAAAGCGTCAGGGACCCGCCTGGGTCAGCGATTGCCAGGCAGGGGAACCAACCTTGGAGCCTCCCCCACCCCCTGACCCCCGCCCCAGGTTTCTCTGCTTTCAAAGTTTGCACCCGTAGGACGTTTTATTTCAAACTACATCCTTTGTCCCTTCCAACATCCCAAGCGCGACCCACACCCCGTGACCATCCGTGGTTCCGTCTGAAAAGTCGGGCTCTGTCTCTGCACGGCGGGGGGGGGGGGATGCGCGCGGGACTGGGGGGCCAGCAGCCGGAAGTTCTCGCCCCAGGATGGGAGAGGCGCTTTGGGGGGGGTTCCCCCCGCCTCTCTCTCGTTCTTGATTTCTGCTTTTGTTTCATGAAAGGAGGGACGTAAGGACCCCACGGGAGAGCTAAGTTTTCCCGCAAAGCTGACGGTTCGCAGCCCCGGCACCCCGGGAAGGCACTGCCCCACTCCCCGCCCGACCTCAGGGTCCCAGGCGCGCGGGGAAGGCAGAGCCCCGGACCGGGCTGTCTCTCTCACTCACCCGCGCTCCCGCCTCGGGGGTCCCCGCTGGAGCGTCCCCGCCGAGTGGCGACGCCGGGCCGCGGGGGCGCGGGGCTGGGGCCGGGGGACGCGGGCCCGCGGCGTTCCCAGGGCGGGGACTCGAGCTCTGGGCGGCGGGCGGGCGATCGAGCCGTGCCCGCGTCGGCGAGGGGCGCGCGGCGGGCCGGGGAGGGCGGCCGGTCCCGCGTCCCGGGGACGGCGGGCGGCGGCAGCAGCAGCAGCAGCAGCAGGAGCGGCGGCAGCAGGAGGGGCGGCGGGGGCCACCGCGAGGCGCGCGGCGAGGCCATGGTGGCGGCGCCCACCCGCGCTCACATGCCCGGCGCGGGGCAGCGGGGGCAGCGCGCGGCGGGGACCGGGCGAGCCGCAGCGCGCGAGGACCGAAGTGGGGCGGCGAGCGCGCTCGCTCCCCGCCTCAAAAGTTGTGGGAGCCGCGGGAGGGCGGGCGGGGGCCGGGCGGGCGCGGCGGGGGCGGCCCGCGGCTCTGCCTCATGCTAATTAGCCCGGGCGGGAGGGCGGGCGGGCGGCTCCGCCTCGGTTGACATCACCCGCCCCGCACGCCGGGCCCCGGGGGCGGGGAGAGGGCAGGAAGGGGGCGGGGGCGGCCCGGGACCGCCGCCTGGCACCCCGATCCGCCGGGTGAGGTCAACCGAACCTCCGCGCCGCTGGCGTCTCACGCACACGCCCCGGAGCGTCGCTTGTTCGCTTGGGCTTTGCAGGCAAATGTAGAGTTCAAAAGAAGAAGAAGGAAAAGGCTTTGGGGATCGGTTGCCCCGGTCCCCAGCTCCCTCGGCGCACGGCAGGTCCGGGGGGTGAGGTTGGCAGGAACTACGGTAAGAGCGAGCGCTCTGACCCGAGAGGGAAGTGGGGCCCGGGCCCCCCCCCCGAATCTCTGTCCCTACCCCAGCCCCACCATCCACCCCGGCCCTCCCTGGTCTCCAGTCCTGATGCTGAACTTGCTTTAACTCCTCACCAACCCCCCCCATCCCCACCCCAGCAGAGAGCTGCAATCCGCCTCTTCACCCTCCACCCTCCCAAGCCTGGATTCCCTTCCCCACCTCACCCCTGCCTTTGGCTCCCACCAGAAGTTCTGCCTAGATGTCACTGCCTGGACACCCAGGCAAGGCCGCAGGGATCAAGAAAACGGTGGATCCAGACTGGACTCCGGCAAACGCATCATCAGGAAAAAGGGCTGCACAACTTACAAACACCAGAATGCACGGGACATCACTGAATCTTACGCGAAAGCTTCGGAGAAGTTCAAAAGATTCAGTGTCAACACATCTGGGTAAACAAAAAGTCCCACGTGTGTCCATATTCCCCTCCTAGTAAAAAATAATAAAACGCCTAAATGAAGAAGACTTCATTCACTTCAAGATTCTAAAACTAAGCCCTACACAGTAGCTCATACCTGTAATCCTAGCTACTCTGGAGGCTGAGGTCGGAAAGATCTATAGTTCATAGGTGAGTCTGTGTCTTAAGATCCCTGCATCTCAACCAAAAAAAAAAAAGCAGGGTGTGGTGGCCTGAGTCTGTCATCCCACGTATGCAGAGAGCCAAATAGGAGAAATCTTGTCCAGGCTAATCCTGGTCAAAAATACTAGACCTTATCTGAAAGATAAGGCAAGTGAAAAGGGCTGGTGGTAGAGCGGTAGAGCACCTGTCTTAAGAAAGTCCAAGTCCCTGAGTTGAAACCACAGTACCACTCCCCTCAACATTCTAAAACGACTCAAGAATGAAGTGACTTGTTTGTGAATGACTGTATGTCACCACTCATCCTAGTCTTCTAATTCATAATTTGTGCTTATTCTCAATGAAATGAATACTGTCGTTCCTCAGGCATCTTGTCAAGTATGATGGGGTCTCCTGACTCATATAGTCAGGAAAGTCTGAGACTGGACTTCAGACTGTAGGCTGGGAGCCCTCCTCCCAGCACTCCCTCCCACTTCTCTGCTCTTCTCTGTCTCTTCTCCAGATCTCAACGGCCCACCTCCAGGAGAATGAGCTGAACATGATGTCCACTGGCTGCAGACAGGCCCAGGCCAGCTTTCTGCTGACTCAGTACAAGTGAGTCATTTGGCAGGCAACATATCCAAAGGCTGTTTAGACCCAAGGATCAGTAAACAGCTCACCTTAAATGAAGGAGGAAAGACTCAGTTTTCTTTCCTCTTGTTTTTGTTTTAAAAAATAAGAAAACAAGTCCAACTTTCACCTCTCACATAGAATTCCCAGATCTTTCCAAGAAAGTGCCAAGCAATTATCTCCAATGATCCCCATAGGTAACTTGGTTTACTCTCAGGGACCGTTTTAAGTTTTCTGGACTCGTGTTCTCTTATTAATACACAGGACTGCACAGCTGCCCAGACCCAGCCAGACAAGTTCTAACAGCCCAGTCCACTGTGCTTAGAGATTCCGGTCCTTGCCCCTTCCTCTCCCCCTTCCACAGAGAACATAATCTCACACTAGTTGCCCTTCCAGAGCCAGGGATGTTTAAAGGGTTCCATGGCCCTTCGCGGCTTCCCCTGGGGATACACAGATCTTACTAGAGAATCTCACCTTTCTTGCCAAGCCCCAGGGGGCAAATTTCTACCTGCCACCTGCTCCTCCCCTTGAAGCACCACAGGTTTATCTGTCTGTAATCTTCTCTCTGCCTTCTAAGTCAAATAAGCAAGTTGACGGTAACCAGCTGCTAGGACAGGCTTCACTAGTGCATTAGGAGAGGGAAGCAGGACAAACCTGCAAATGTTGATCACAGTGGGCATGCTCCCAGCACTTTCTATCTCCTAGGACTGAGCAAGAGCAGTTAGCAAGGCAGTGTGAGGCAGGATAGAACCTTGGAAAAAGTACTAAGTTTAATCTTAGTGCTTTTGCTTCTTTCTCTTATTTGACCACTATATAATTGTGATCTGGTCCTCAGTTTCTTCATATGTACACACACACACAAATATATATATATATGGGCTGGGAAGGTGGCTCAGTGGTAGAGCACTTGCCTTGCATGCCTGAGACCCTTGGTTCGATTCCTCAGCACCACATAAGCAAAAAAGAAAAAAGCTGGAAGTGGCGCTGTGACTCAAGTGGTAGAGTGCTAGCCTTGAGCTGAAGACCTGAGGGACAGTGCCCAGGCCCAGAGTTCAGGCCCCACAACCAGACCCCTCCCCCCAAATATATATATATATATATATATACATATATATAGAGAGAGAAGAGAGAGAGATTATCCTAAATTCTCAACTAGCCCTGATGTCTTAAGGTTTAGGAAGAACCCTATTATGGCACAGGAGCAAGGAGGAATGAAACAGGTGTCTTAAGGTCATCAGTAATGTTCCTTTTCAGGGATGTGAAAATTCAGACAAGATTCCTGGTTATCTCAGATGGCTTAGAAGAGCTTCTCTCTGGAGCCAGGAGGATAAATCAGATGACCCTTCCCCCCCCCCTCAGATCCATTCCAGCTCTGGGAGTCTGTTGATCCAAAATAAAACAGAAAAGAAGATAGCTCAGATGGAATTCCTGGGCTGTGTGTGTTAGGAGTGGGGCATTCCTAACCTCTGCAGGGGAATGGAGGCACTCCAAATGATTGACAGTAAAGCCAGCAGGAGTCCAGTCAGTGCATGGGACGTGAATACTGCAGGGACTCAGAGCTTTTGCGAGGGCTTTCCTGCCTCTACTTGTCTTAGTTAGATTAGGATCAGGTTATGCTGAAGTAACAAAGAGGATCCTCAAATGCCACAGTTTAACACTACAGTGTTTCATTCTTGTTCACTTAATAGCCTTAAGCATTGATGTTCTGGACCTATGTACAATATGGTGGCTCTGCCATTCTACTATATATCTTTCAATGTTTTCCTGTGAATTGTCATTCCAATCAAACAGAGGTAAAAAAGAGCATGGAATTGTCAGTGGGAGTGGCTTTGCCACACAGGCATGCTTCACTTCCATATCACAATGGTGATATGGTTCACCCAACTGCAAAGGTGGCTGGAAAATGGAGCCTAGCCATGTGGGCAAAGGGAGAGGTTTAGGGAGGCAGATGACAATTTCTACTTTGCCACTTGATGACAGGAGGGCACAAAAAGGAAACTAAAGAAGATTCATCTCTCTGGCTTCAGTTTCCTTCTTTGTACAAGATGACCTCAGGGTCCATCTGCTCTGATTTTCTGGAGGAAGGTGATATCCTGCGGCAAAGGCAGTGGGCAGCCTGAGCTCCTGCCACTGAGCCCTCAGCTCCAGAACTCCTCCTCTCACTGCCCTGCTTGGAAGACCCAGCAGAAAAGACCTTGGGTTTTCTCCAAGTTCTGTCCTTGAGCTACTCTCATTCCCCAGCCACACCAAGTGATCTCTGTTGACCTCAGTGTCCCCAGTTGTCCAGTGGGGAGGAAAACCATTGCCCTTTGCTGCCTCTTCAGGGTTGGTCTGAGGATAGGATGAGATGACGGTGCAGAAGCACCAGGAGGTTTCTAACTGAAACCCTCTGTGTGCAATGTTCTTAGTGCAGCCAGACCCTTTCATAAGGCAGCCTTCTGAACACATCCCCAAGTGTGCCTCTGCAGGATGTGGGGCAATGCCACTCTGCATGGCTGGGATACAGTGGTGTCTGCATGGCAGAAAATCCCAGGGATGCTCCAGACTCTGGGAGAATAGAGTGGTAGAGAGTCATTAGACACCTGTCCTCCGACATCTTGGTTAATCTGTACCTGGGGCAAATGAGTGGGGCTGGGGCAAAGCCATCTCCTCTGGTGAGCCAGAGCAGCTACTCACTCAGGCAGGCCCTCCTCAACCGGCACCTGCTGCTGGGTCTGTCCACGTATCCTCTTGTCTTGCTTGTCCCTTCTTTTTCCCAATCTACATGCTGATTTCTGATGCTTATTTGCCATCGTGTGCCTGAAATCCAACATAGTCGTGTGTGTGTGTGTGTGTGTGTGTGTGTGTATGTGTGTATGTGTGTGTATGTATGTGTGTATGTGTGTGTGTGTGTGTGTGTGTGTTTAACTTAGTCGTTCAATAAATATTTTCTCTGAGATTCCACTGTGCCAGGCACTGTGCTGGGTTTGGGGTGAGTCTCTGATCTCATAGAGTTATGACTTGGAAGAGACAGTCAACAGAAGAGTATCCGTGTAAATTTCTTCTTTGTTGTTGCTTTTTGTTTTGGTCCAAGATTGGGACTCAAACTTTAGTACTTTCACGCACTTGCTAGTGCTCTACTAACTGATCCGATCCTCCACTGTATTCTTAAACTGCTTTGTTAAATGGCAACTCCCTTAAAGATACTTAAAGATAATAATAAAAAGAA